CACACCCGGGTGTGGGATCCGGGTGTGCACCAATCATGGTCCATGTTGCTAATACTTAAGGTTTTCAGCAACATAGCTCTTGTTGCTGAAAAGTAGATCTCAATTAAACCCCCAAAGATTCACAAGAAAATATCAGCAAGATGAAGTATGTTGCTGAAAGTAACTTTCAGCAACAAAAAGTATATTGCTCAAAGTGGGGCAGCTTTTTCAGGGGGAGGCGTACGGAAGATCTTTCAGCAACATAGGGCTTGTTGCTGATACAAATTTTCAGCAACAAACAATCCCATGTTGCTGATATATTGTTGCTAAAAGTCAAAATTTTAGTAGTGGTAATGCTTAAAAATAATCTAAAACATTCATTTTAGTCACTAATATCTATTTTCTTTTTAAGTCAAATATCAAAACTTCACCTTTAACTTATATTTTTTTTTTGAGTTAAATCTATTTATTTTATTTTTTCATTTGTTATACAATTTTTTACGTTTCTAAACTGTTTACATTTTTATGTATTTTTTTAGATATGATTTATTATATTATATTTTTTTCACAAATACAACTAGATAATTATTCATTAATCACAAAAGATTCCAAAGTACAATATATTTCATATTTAGCATGACCAAGTTAATTGTTTTAAGACATAAGTTATCAAACTAATTAATTATAAAATTAATTGTTATATATTTGTTATATAAAATTATCAAACTAAATTTTATGCAAAATTTAAATTAACACAACTAAGACGAATAGACGGGAATAAATCTTTAGGACACAAGTATTTTTTGAATAATAATTAGTATACTCTTGAATACATTCTACAATACATTTATTAATAAATTATTATTTTTAAATTTAAATTTAAAACAAAAAAAAAATCAATTTTAAGATTTAATTACTAAACCATGGGTGTTAACTAGCGGAGGATATACCATTACACTTAATTTACACTTAATTTCTTCCTCTTTTATAACTCTTTTTCTTGGATTTAGTTTATTAATTTGCAGATTTAAGCTAGCTGGCTATTTATATGGAGTGGTTGACGAAGATCAAAGACACTGTTAAGGATTACCGGCGAAACACGGACCCTATGATCATAGATAAATAGGACGTGTCGGTGAGAACAGGGTATGTTTTCCCATCATTGGCGGGAAGACCGGTTCCATTCTTTCTAGACTCTGTGTACTGGAAGGCAAGGAAGGAAGAAAAGAGAAAGAGGGAATAAGAAGCAGCCACTGCCTACTCGATTTAAGCAAATTGACATCCTAATTGAAACATTACTCCGGCATCGTATGTCAAATCCGGCAAGAATTCTACTCTTTTTTTTTCTTTTCTTCTTTTTTTGGTGGAAAGCAAGAATTCTACTTTTATGTCTTTTATTTGTCTTTAATTTCCTTTGTGAGTTTTGGTTGTCAATTATGACCTTGATCATGAGATTAATGTAATTATAATACTCTCTCAAGTTTATTATGTATGACTAAAAGATTGTTATTTGATAATAATAATATGAGTACATATTAAAAATGTATTAATTATATTTTTTTTATAAAAAATAAAAATTAATTTTTATTTTATTATTTGTCCAACTAATATTTTAAACGTGTTATTGTATTAAAAATAAAATTTATTTATTTATTTTTTATATAAATTAATAAAAAAAATAATTAATATACTCATATTAAGCATGTTTTACCCTTCGGAATGGGGGTGGGATGATGGAAAAATTATTCTCTGCCATATGTATTTCCATTTAAAAACAAAGAGACAAGTTTTATTATTTTAAAACAAACTATTTTAAAGAGTTGTGAAATGTATTGGGTTGAGTTTGCTTTTTAAGCAAACATAATTGAAGTTTAGTATTGGGTTAAAATTAATATTGAATAGCCTTAAACAATAATAAGTTAGAATCCATAAATTTTTATATTTTTTTAATATTTCAGTGGGAGCAGAATGCTCATAGGGAGTGGAAAATTTCGACAAAATTTCAGAGGAAAAAAATGTCCATGTCTCTGCTCGCCACCCCATGGAAGGATCCGATCGAGGGACTCCACAGGGATTGGAGAAATTAAAATTGACACCCCAATTCTAATTTTACAGAGAGTTCAGATTATGGGAATTCATGGCAATGTCTTTTGGTTGTTGGTAATCAATTAGCATCCTCCATTTTTGCCTCCTCTATCTGTAGGCGGTTTAATATCCGTAACAACCATAGGATAGAGTTTTTTTTTTGTATTTAGGTAAGATTAAGACGTACTTAATTATCCCTAAATCTAAGGCACCCTTAATATATCCATTATTAGAAACGAGAAAGATTAGTCGGGTCAAGGAAGAAAAAAAGATACTGCTGTATCTTGCTTGCCCCATCATAATTCCTTCCTTCCATTCTATTTATAAACCAAGTATTGATTTTAATGTTTCTATAAACTATCAAAATTTTTTCTTTTCAGTAACGATATCCTTTGAAGGCCAAAAAATAAAAAATAAAAAGAAGTAACAACATCATTTTTTCTGGGGATATGTGAATACAAATATTCCTTGGGGGACTTCCATGTGAATTATACCCAAATTACTTCATTATTGAAGCCCCCCAAGCAATTTTCCTATTATTCAGCGGGTCGTTAATTCAGTTAACCACAGTCCCTGTTCACACTGGTAGTGAATAATCTTTGAGCTTTCATATATGCAAGAGATAGTGTGTTTAAATGATCTCCTCAGAATCCAAACCTTATTTTTTTAAAAAAATTTTCAGGTGTAAATTCGACCCTTTAATCGTCCTTCACTATTACAAAAAGGGGTTCCCTCGAATTCATGTTTTGCCTGAGAAAAAAGCATAAATTTCATTCCTTTTTTTGTTATTTTCCCACTGTTAAAATTTTAATGCGTAAATATTTTTCAGAAGTCGTTATCGGAACCCAATGGACCCTAAAATTAGAAATAAACATGCATTCAGTTCCTTGTCACTTCTAACTTACTTTAAAAATAACAAGAACAAAATGCTAATCCCCACCTACGCTTCCACAGTTGAGACAATAAGGGTCCGTTTGGTTGAACGGAAAATCTTTTCCGGAAATTATTTTCTATATTTTTTTGGTGTTTGGATCACTTTCACACTTTCTGAAAATGGCTTCCGAATTATTTTTCTAGAAGTTGTTTTCCGCTTAAAAACACGCAGATATCTTTTACGCGATTTCAAACCTAGAGCGGGCTTTTGGATATAACCCGATTCGTCTCCTTCCTCAGTTCTTAATTTTACATATGAGGACTGCTAGCTGCAGTCGCTTGAAATCCGCTCTTTAACACCCGCGTTCTCATTTTGCCACCTCATTTATAAGGTGGGCAAAACCACCTTTAATCTGCAAAAGCAAAACCACGCCATTCACAGCAGTGGCATAAGGTGGGCAAGGGCAAGCTACTTTTCATTTGGCATCAATAAATTAAGCAGCAGTAGCACCAGGATAGAGCTTGTGTTAATGGAGTTGAAAATGGAAGGGAAAACGGAAGTGTTTTATTGGTTATGATTGTGTTGCGTGATTTAAAGGGCTCCTTTATTTGCTGCTTTCTTTGGGTAAAAGGGTTGTTCTTTTATTCAACTTCTCCATGTTTGTCGACCTGAAGAGTTTTGTGTTATAATTTTATTAAATTGATCAAAAAATTGGAATTGTAAAAATTTAGTGATGTTAATCATTTATAGTCCTCCTCTCAAACATCAAGACAAGGTCTGATTTGTTTGTGAGAATATATTTCTTCTTGAATGATCTGATGATACTTACAAAAAACCTAAAATCTAGTCGTCAAAAAATTATTCTTTTATTTAATTAGAACCCAAGAAAAAGAAGAGAAAATTATTTTGGTATTGGCTAAAGAACGAAAAACCCTAGAGAGAGACAGAGTTGCTGCAACTGCTAGCTTAACAGAGAAACATGAAGGAGAACAGCAACAAAAAACGGGGAAAAGAGAGTCAGAAGATCCAGAACCCATAAGAAACAAAGGCGATCATAGCTTTAGGAAAAGATCGAAACTCTGGAAAAAGGTTGGAATTTGTGAAGAGACGAATTTGAGCTGCTGGAAAGAATGAGATGGTGAACTGGTGATTGGTGAAGGGAAAACAAGACAACCATGGCAAACAGGCAAATGAGGAGACCGGAGGTGAAGTGGGAGAAAATTGGGGGAGGCTTCCTTTTAGTTATAGTTTTTTTTTTTTTAATTACTAACTTTACAGTTTCAATTTTTGTCATTAGCGAATGAACTTTGGAGAACGGTTTCCGGTTTACCTTGAAAAGCAAAACGAAGTGGCAAGATGAGAAAGCGGGTGTTGAAAGGGCCGGGGGGTGTTCAAAGCGACTGCAGCTAGCAGTCCTCTTTACATATACCCACACGGCCTCGTCTAATACGTTGCAGTTTCCAGAGTCAAACTTTGCCTGGCCACTGTCACCGGCGTCAGCATCACCGTCAAGCATATATATATATATATATATATACCCAATAAAAAATTACGAAAAACACACGAATATACACCCACTGACCCACGAACACGAGAAAGTCTGCTATATCACCGGTATACCACCGTCACTTGTATCCTTACCCAATCAAATACTGCCAGCTCATGTGAAAAAATAATTAAAAATTTTGTGTTAATTTTGTTACTGAGAATAACTTACGCCGTTACAAACTGCAGTCCTCAATCCTTCTTAGACTTGCCTTTTCCTTTTCTTCCTTACCTTAACTTTTCAGTTCACCGACTTCGAAGCCACCAGTCCCACCCTTAGCCCCACGACCATGGCAAACTCTTAGAGATAAATTGACACAAAATCAAACTACTCCTCCTTCATTATTTTCATTTTCATCCTTGGTTTTTCATTAATGAAATGTGGATTAGAGGTATGATCCATTTTTTTAGTCTCCTTTAGCATCACAAACAATAATATGAACTCGGTTTGTGAAATTAGTGTTGATTGAGTTTTTAATACGATACAGATTGTTGTAAATAAAACTAATTAAACTAGAGATTGTAGTAAAATTTTTAATTTGAACTTTACAATTTTGAAATATAGACATAGGGTTTACAGGATGCAAAATACCCAATTAGAGTGCAATGATGATATTATACTGGGATTTGAGGTCAAAATCCAAATGGATTCTTCCCCCACTTGTAGAAACTTAGAGAGATATGGGGTTGGTTCGGTCTTTTGGAAGATTTGAGGGAGAAGGGAGGGGTTGGTACTTTGATTTGTTTGTGTTTTGCAATAACAAAATGGGTCTATAATACAAATCACAAAAAAGTCTAAGATAATTGACAATTTATGCTTGTTGGCCTATAAAAAAAATGTTTATGCTATGTCGATCGATGCTGCCTACGAAAATTTCCCTCAAAATTTTTAGATTTTTCATTCAGGTCATGAGAATCTATTACTAGAGTCGAATTCTTGATGTCTTAGCATGCTCTATGGAAAATAATTTTTTGTTTCTATTTTGATTGAGGTGGGGGAGGAGGAGGAGGAGAGGCAGGCAACTGAGTGAAGTGCAGGGAGAAAAGGGAGCATTGGAGAAGAGAGAGCATAAAAGTTTAACGGTGTTAATAATTTTCTGGTTGCATGTTGTGAGTGGGCTATAATTTAGCAAAAGGTTATTACCTGTCATTTTGTTATTGGACCGGGATACCACATCAGCTGGTATACCGGGATATAGTAGACTTCCTCCATGAACACAGACAAAGATTAAAACTTTGTTTATTCCAGAGGAATAGCACTTTTACATTAAAATAACATAATTTGGAAACGTGGAGTGGGTATGATTTATTTAAGGTTAAATATTAATTTTGATCTCTTAAAATAAACGTTTTATATAATTTTTAT